AATGTCTCAATTCCGGTGGCGAATATGTTGAAAAATAGCTGGACACTTGCTGTATCTGTTGCAATAAATATTTCCATGAAATTGTGTTTTGTTTCTGTAAACGGCCCCAGGGAAACTTACTTTGTGGACGAGCCTCGTAAAATTAAATTGAAATAACGTAAAAGTTACAAATGGAATAGAATGCTCGTTCTCATTTTCTTGACAAACCGTTGCAGATCGGACCGACGTTTATTTGAAATGTTTGACTCAAAATGATCCCAAGAGCACACACCTTATCGCGGGACATTCTGTATAAGGAATTATTTTTGAAAGTTTTGTATGTTTTTAAATCTAAAATCATACGTTACTGTATGGCCATATTGCAAGTGGCACTAGTGTCAACCCTCATCTGACAAGTCTGTTTGTCCATTCCAAATTTCATTCAAATGCATTCAGCAGTTTTTAAGTTGGATCATGTGGACAGACAGGCATGAACAGCCTTGTAAGTGTTAATTTTTCACATTGCACAAAGAACACACAGTAAGCACTTACTTCACAGAGAGTTGTGTTGAAAGTTTTTTTATTTTGTTCCTTTTATAGGTCCTTACAGTTCTTAAATTCATTCGTAATTTTATTGATGAGAATCCTTTATCTTGCTGCTATAATGAGATTTCTGCCATAAAAAAGGATCTTTCTGAGGCAGATGAATTGAAATTAAAACAGAAAAGATCATCTCTGAGTTTGAAGATATCACAAGGAGGATATTACTTTAGGACTAGGATTCTTGTGCCTGATATATATCCAGAACATTCAATCAGGTAAGACGAGAAGCCATTTTTGATGTACAGTAGAGTCCTGATTATCTGACCTAGACAGGATCGAAGCATGGTCAAATAATAAAAAATGTCAAATATGTGGATTATTAATAGTGAAAAAAACAGGGGTAAATATTAGCTCAGTTTGTGATATTATTAAATTATGAAGAAAACACAGTACAGCATCAAATAAAAAAAATTACAAACAAAAATAGTATTTAACGTAATGTAAATTAGTAAATGTAAGAGTTTATTTTTTGAGAAAATTAGTAGTGGGCATTTGTTTCTGAGCCGGCTCCTCTTTGCTGCAGGGTCACGACTGTACCTGAACAATAGTACGTCTGTAGCATTCATGTCCCTCTTGCTTAACGTAGGCAAGGCAGCCGCGGTAGAATATGGTCCCTTACCGTGACTCACGGCGTATCTTGTTCAACGGAATGTCAGATAATTGGGACTCTACTGTATTGCCAGTGTTTCCTAGCAATATTATTGTTTTAAGTAACTTTTTAGGTTCTGCTTTTGTGTATGAATTAATTATGTACATCTGTGGAATTGATCAGAACATAATTTTAAGGCACAGGAATCTTAATTAAAAATAGTCTGTATACTTTGTTTTTGAGCCTTTATACCTTACAGCCATTTAAGGCACCGTATCAGCTGAAACTGACTTGCGCTATTTACCTGCACGTAAGATAGTCGTCCTCAAACTGTACGTACACAGAAAATAGTTGGCTTGATCCACAGCTAACCACATTGGTGTAAACATTTTGAGTCACTGTATATTTTCTTTTCACATGATTATCCATGACTTAGGTAAATAGGACGCAGGCCTTGTAATCCTGGGGTCCCGGGTTCGATTCCCGGCGGTGCCCGAATTTATAACTTGTGTTGGGCAAGGCCTTGGTCTAGGCAACACAGTTTTTTCCTCCGGGGCTTCCCCGGTTTCTCCGTGGCACTCCATACACACTGAAGAAGGCAATGGCAAACCACTTCTGTATTACCTGCCTAAAAAACATATATGAACAGGTCCCAGTCCGAGAAAAGGATGGAAGGATCCTGTTCATAATATGTCGCCAACCTCCTGTAAAGGAGACAACATAATAAAGAAAAAGTAAAAACATTCTATCTTTTTACCATGGTTACTTCCTTCAGGTTAAAAGTAAAGAAAAATGCTTATTTTATATTTGGGTAAATACAGCGCTATTACAGTTTGGTTCTAATCATTTTTTCAGTCTGGAAGATGTCGAAACAAATTTTCCTCCACTCTTTCAACGTTACTTTGTCGGACAAAGTAAAGAGATTGCGAGGCAATGCATTGAGGCTCCAGCTAAACCTAGAAAAAAGAATGAGGCCCCATTCAGGCCTTCACCATCATTACAACCTGTTGTGTCGTTCCTCGTTGCATCGGTTAAGCAGATTCCACAAGAGAGTTGTCAGCTTTGTAACAAGAAGTGCCTACCACAGGACCCAGAGGTAAACTGTTTACCTGATGTGTGTAATTGTAGTTTCTCAAAAACTCTTCTTGACAGAATTAGTCATAATTATGCTATAGAATTGACGGCACAGAAATGTTTCGTGCAGTCAGCACAAGACAGAAAAATGATTGTCACAGACCAGATGTTATTTTTATAGCCATTTCAGTCAAGTCCATACACTCACACCCTATTTCTCTAACATACATTTTTACCAATACCACCACTGGCACGGAAGCCTTGCTCTACTGCAAAAGTGCTGTCATAGTGTGTAGTGAACAGCTTTACTTTACAGACCATGTAAGTTTGTTCCTTGTAGTTGGCTGAAACAAATGAGAATGGGGAGAGCCACGTGGAACGTGTTTACTGCAGCCATTTGTTTCATCTCCAGTGCCTCATTACCTACATGAAGACTCCTCCTTTTCATGGTATGTACAGATGATTCAGTTTTAATCAGCACATTTTTGTATCATAATCTCTTTAACAGCACGCATGGATGCGGCAAGAGGTGTGCACCGGGTATTGGTCGGGAAGCCTGAGGGGAAGAAACCGCTGGGGAGACCTAGACGTAGATGGGAGGATAATGTCAGGCGGGGTCTATCGGAGATAGGAGTTGAAGGCGACTGGGTTTTGTTGGCCGAGGACAGGAACCGGTGGAGGGCTTTGGTTAATTCGGTGATGAACCTTCGGGTTCGGTAAGCCATCTAGTTAGTTAATTAATTTTTCTTAGCTTGTAGCCTATTGATATTGTTTACATTAATGATAACAGAGGGCAGTAATATTATACATTTTGTAAATATGTGAAGGTGAAATATTATGCAGGTATCTAGATACTAATAGATTGAATATTAAATAACCATGCATGTACATTAATAATGAAAGAATTAATATTTTGCATAAAACATAGTGATGCTGTTATGTCATGATGAGATAAAGCTGCACGCTTTCACGTTAGTATAAGGTTAGTGTTAGCTTTATGTTCTGGCTGCCGTACCTCTTAGAAAGAGTACCTGGTAACTGTTCAGTGGGGTAAATTTGTCCCTGGTGTTCTACGGCCTAACCAGCCTCCTATCTAATGGGTATCGGACTTCTTGCCTAGGAGGTAAAGTGGCCAGAGCGTGAAGCTAAGCCTTCACCTCTGTCTAGTGCCACCACCAACAATAATAATAACAGTAGCAAAAGTGGTTCTTGCCTCCAGATCGCAAAAGTCATGATAAACACATACGAGGCGTTTCAGCTAAAATGTGACGATGCGTTCTAGGCGGTAAGAAGTGTCCCAAGTGTGGGCAACGAATTTATCATGACAAGTGGCGTGTGAGTGAGAAGGTCGCAGAAAATCGATGGGGTCATCAGCAGGCCAGGGAGCGCGAACTGAGGGAAGTGACCGAGTTCCTCGAATAGAGAGCAGCATTGTCTCATTGCTTACAGAACAAAGTACGAGTGATCCTCAATTGTAGATAACATCGTCATATGGGAACAGTACTTTTTATAAAGGTAACTTAAGTCAAATGTGTGTTTTATTATTTTCAGAAAAGAAATGTCATATTTGTCTAATTTCTGTGTATGAATTTTTAGTATCAGTGTGATGGAGAACGGTATTGTTGGTAATACTGCTGTTATATTGTCTTTTGTAATTAAATTTTTTACTGTCAAAATTTTAAGTTTTCATGGCATTTTTAGTAATATGATGACTTTCGGGTTGTCAGCCGTGTCAGGGCCTGAGGATGAGAACACATTAGCGGTTTCGTTACCAGCTCAATTTGACATGGCTGACGACCCAAAAGTTATCATATTACATTTTTCACTGCTCTTTTGGTGGTATATTGAGGATTTGAGACGTTCGAATGATTGTAAGGAAATCAAGTGTATTTAAATGAGGAAGAAGTGTGGATTGTATCTGCTTATCAGAATCATGGTATAGAATTTTGATTATCCAAAATTAACCAAACTTAATTCAACATGAACATGTAATTTTGTGTTTGGAAAGAGAGAATTTAAAATTTGAGTGTAACCATTTTATGTGGACATTTTGCTATTATATTTTGTCTAACTCTTATGTATGCTCTTATCATGGCTTAATGTATTTCTGTCATAAAATTTAAAAGTTAAATATTTATATCATATGATGCTTATGAATCAAAGGTGCTATTAATGCAAGGTCCATGTCGGCCATTTTTTGATATTATACACAAAATATCCACTTCACACATTCATTTGCATACAGTTAACATTGAATTAGATATGGTAGAATGATTATATGTGATGAACTAGGCAGGATGGGAAAGAAAGTGGTAGTGGCCTATTTTAAGGTATATTTATGGCAATCATCTGGATGAATTGAGGAAAACAATGGGGGATCACAGAGTAATCCACCCCTGGAAATAATTTGAACTGGAGATCTTCCATATGTTAATTAGACTGTCTTAATTTCTTCGTAATGTTTATTGATCATCGTCATTTAATTACGTAGTTCCTGATAAATTTAGTGTCTTGTAAAGCCAATTCATATTTGTCACATTTGTAGGTGCATTCGCAGCTTAAATTTGCAAATATGTGCCTATTAGCTTCACAATGTCTGTCTGTCTTTCTGCATGTAACAATTTGAGAATCACACTGAATGGATTTCCATGAAATTTGATATTTAGAATTTTCACCAAATTTTTCTAAATACATCACAATTTTAGTTAAAATCTGACAATATTATGTGCTGTACATGGATATTTGATGTGGTCACATTGCTTTAGGTTTCCTGCCCAAAATTTGGTATGTGATTATCATCTCTTCCGTGCATGATACATAAACTGTACTTGGGTGAAATACAGTGTTATGTAAGTAAAAACTTTATTTTTATTGAGCGGAATTTCATGGCTGTCAATGTGGCAATCATCTGACAAAGTGCAACATGAATAGTTAATGTTCACAGGAGACCATCAAGTTCTATTAACTGACTCCATTGAGGAAACTTCCTAAGAAGTTAATAGTACATTCATCTGGTCGCAAAATTGCCTGCCTTTTATGTGACCTAAAGGTTCATCGCCATGTTCATAAGAGCCAGTTGGTCATCCATACCGTGTGTCAGATCGTGTCTGTCCCTTACGTAATTTACGTGGTGATCTGTCCTATATTCACAGTGGACAGTTTTACAGTACAAAAATATGTATCTCAAATCTTGTATTTAAATACCATAAAATGTTTATCTGTGATTGATTCAATAATTTTTCAGATACGCAAACTTGTCAAAAGGCCTACAGTTTTGAGGAACATACAAAAGTATTAAATTATCTTAACTTGTACATATTTCTTGCCTTTGTTTGTTTTTTAATGTACTAGCTTTTGCTAGTTTCCTGAACATAAATACAATAGAGTCCCGATCATCCAACATGCGGTTATCCAAAATATTCGTTCCGTTTTATCTGACGGGTCAGAATGCTCCATTTTATCAGCGGTCAACTCGGCGTGTAGAGGAATGAATTACACTCGCCCACCGCGCAACTTCTACATTTTATGTACTCTGCTGCTACAGACGTTCAACTGTTCAGGCAACGGCATGATCTTGCCGCAAAGAAAAACGAGGAGGCTCAGATATAAATACCCATTACTAATTTCTTAGAAAGCAAACTCTTTCATTTACATATCTGCATTATGTTAAATACTGTTTTTGTTTGTGAGTTGTTATATTTGATGCCATAGCTTATTTTCTTTGTAATTTAATAATATAAATTGAGTTATGAACTGGGTTGATATTTACCATTGTCTTTTACATTAGTCTTTCATATTATCTTACATTTTTGATTACCCATTTAGATTAGATAATCGGGACTATACTGTGTATGGAATTGTATTTACTGTGTGAGTTTAGTGTTTATTTTAACGCAAATAATATGGTAAAACACTTTGTCAGTGCCATTTTGTAACAACAGTTTACGTAAAGTGATTTACAAGAAAGTAGCACAGGGGTAGATAATCCAGCATTTGAATATTTAACTCAGTGGTCCCCAACCTTTTTGTGCCTACGGGCACATTTGAGAGTTTATGAGATCGTGGCAGACACCAACCAATTAACAAAGCCAAATTTTCTTTTCTCTGGACAAATAAGATATGGACACCAAATAATACACAAAACAACACGACGTTTAATGATACAAGAAACCATGCAATCAAAAATACGTAGTTTTATAAGTACAATTATTATTACTCAAGTGGGAAGTTAGTGCGATGTTTGGCGCTGCATTTCATTGGCCAGTTTTTCCAAATTTTGGAGTGTAGGATGATGTTGCTGCTCGCAAACAATCGTCTAGATGGGCGTCAGCAAGTCGAGATCTGCGCTTTGATTTTATAATGTTCGTGGTTGAACGGCCTTCATTATTCAGTATAACCTCTTTCTGTAACAACGCGGGCGCTGTGTTGGGGACCACTGATTTAACTAATCAGAATCTTTACATTGTCTGCAGATGCTTCTGATTTATTTATTCTTTTGCATGATTTTATGAAATAACAATTTTGTATTGTAAATAATTTGGTGGTGTTTTGTATAAAATAGTATATTGTACGTCTTAACACGGTACAGTGATAAGAATACTAAATGCTGAAACGTGTTTTACCTTTTGGTTTGTACGTACTATTACCATTCATATGATGTGATATATAAATCTTGAATAAATATTACAATGTATGGAACTACAGTAATTTTGTATGACCTACAGCTTTTGCAGCAACTAAAGTCAGGGAAGTCTCATTCAATCAGCCATGTCAAGCGGTCGCAAAAAAAAAACAATATTTTGAGAATCGTTTTGTTCGTCATCATCATCATTTACTTAAATTATCAAAATCAGTTTGTATGTTCTTCAACAGGAAGAAAAACGTTTGAACACGATAATCCCATTTCTTTGCCGATGTGTTGTTTCATCACTGTTCACGCTCCTAGCGTGAGAAACTTCTCCTTGTATTTTCTTAATAATTTATCATGTTGCCAGTAAACATTGTAAATCTTAATGTGCTGTATATTTATGTTTCTTATGTAAAATGTAGCAATTTTTGAGGAATCAGTTTGAGGAACCTATGAGTAAGGATTTGTATGGAAAGGGTTAAAAACAGTGGAAATCAGTAGAAAATTGTACGATATTCTCACTCCGTTTTCCTGCATTTTGGATTTTAGTTTAATGTTTTCACAGTTGTGGCATTAATTTATTTTATATAATTGACGGATTAGGGACGTACAATTATCTAACATATGGAAATATCGCATACTGATAGCTATATGGATCTGTTTCACTGAATATGAAGCAGTTTGTAAGATTTGAGGTTTTCACAGCGATGAGTATGAAGATTTCTGTCTTCTGGGTTGTTGCGCTGTGTAGTCTGGTCGATGTTAACCAAGGTTTCACAGGTCATACTGTCTCCGTCATCAGGGCGATGAGTATGTGTTACTTGCGTTAAATGAATACATCACCAGATTGTCATCTGAGTCTGTCCATCTATCCACAAACGTGTTTAATGTCAAACTATGTAACTGATTTTGATTAAATGTGGTACCTGGGGGTCTCGATGAAAAGCTGTGACACGTTTTATTTTTCTCCATATTATTCACTTTTACTGTTACTGGATTTCTTGCCTCCATCATCGCCCTGATGACGGAGGCAGTATGACCTCTGAAACGTTGGTTAACATCGACCAGACTACATAGCGCAACAAACCCAAAGAACAGAAATCTTCATGAAGCAGTTTGTTTGTGGTGTGTTAATTGTGTTACTTGCATGTCTCCGTCATCAGGGCGATGAGTATGTGTTACTTGCGTTAAATGAATACATCACCAGATTGTCATCTGAGTCTGTCCATCTATCCACAAACGTGTTTAATGTCAAACTATGTAACTGATTTTGATTAAATGTGGTACCTGGGGGTCTCGATGAAAAGCTGTGACACGTTTTATTTTTCTCCATATTATTCACTTTTACTGTTACTGGATTTCTGGACTTTGTCGTTCTGGTATTCTTTAAAGAACACAGCATTTCAGAAACTAAATCCCTTTCGCTGGACCCAGTGATTGGGTCTAGCTATTTCTGAGGGACCTGACCAGGTATTCCCCATATTTTCACCGAGGATGAAAGTGGATCCAGTTTCCAGAACGTGTTCTTTTCAGAATACCAGATAATGGAGAAAATACAAAAATTCAGTAATAGTAACAGTAATTGTAATCTGCCATCACCACCAAGTGTTTAGAATTGTAAGATCTGAGGTTTTCTGAATGAGTTTATGACATACCAAATTCATACGACACTGGAGATATCATTCAAATCGACAACTTTTATTTGAAAATTTTTTCAGTGCTTCTAGTAAGTAATATAGTAATGATAGTAATATTCATCCAATCATATGTATCTGGTATTAGCATTTCAATAGAAAATACTCGATGTCTTGTGGAACGGAATAAAGTCTAGCTTTGCCGCGTGCTTACGACGATAGTCCCATAAGAAATGGTCGATGAGAATCGAGTTGACTGGAAGACCTGCCTGATCCTGAGACTTCAGCAGTGCTCGAACTTCATCTGCGACCAACTCCGTAGCTTGAATTGAACAGCCACGAATTTCTACTTCATTTTCACTTCCGTTCTCGAGAAGTTTATCTGCGAGACAGGAAATAACGCATCAGATAGTTTCGTTGGTTGGTCCACATGTCGAAGGGAAATGACCGTCTCTGGATTATTGATATTGCTTACCAGATTTCAGTAATTCCATCAGCTCATCGCTGTATTTTAGCACTCCATAGTAAATCAGAACTTGTGGAACTCTGTAAACGAAGAAACGATTGAAGTATGCGGTTACGATTGGAGCTGAAACGTGGTAGTTCATTATGTGTTAGTACATTGGGGAACTCCTGTATTATACAGAAGCCAGTTTTATGTTTTCGTGTTTGCTTATACAGGGTATATATTTAAATGGGTGCGGACCTTGGTAAAAATGTTCACTCGAGACATTTATTTTTCATTGTTTTTTTCCTGTAGTGATTTGTTGTAAACGATAGTTTTTCACCTATAAACTGTTTTTGATTTATTACTTTCTAATGTGTCTTTCTGTCATATCCTTAAATTAGAAATTTTAAGGTTTTTATATTTTATTTTAAGAAATTCAAATAGACAGTGTGATGTGCTGTGTGAACTAAAATTTGCGATACAGTAGCAAAGTAGGGTAAGAAGGGATTTAAAAGAGGTGTTTTGTTACTGCTGTGTTTAACGGAACTGTCTTTGTATACCTTGTAAATTAATTATGTAAATTAGATAGTTAAAAAGTATCATTTACTGGAAAAAGGGTTTGAAGTCACAATTATTTTATCTGTCCCTGATTGGAAACTGTAGATCTTATTAAGATATTGTGTAACAATTTTTTGTACTTTGATAAAATTCGGTTTTAACTGCATGTAAAGTAGAACTTGTATTGTGCTTATAGAGACTAAAATTTACCTGAGAAAGTTTCGTATGGGCACTAATATAATTGTATTTAGTAGTTATGGATGTCGCTATCTCACCTGTAATCAGCAAACATCGTTATGGTGTCAATGTCATTGAATTGACCCAACCCTTGACCACGGCATACTGCCTCCGTCATCAGGGCCATAATGACAGAGGCAGTATGACCATACTACACGGCGCGATGACCCAGAAGAAAGCTATCTTCATACGTGATACTGTGAGAATTTGAAACCTCATAGTTCTTTGATTCGTCATTATGCCCAGTTGTCTGGTTAAAAATTAATGTCCCATGGTCGTAATTAATTCTTCTTGGGCTACCAGCTATGTCAGATGGTTTGATGGAGAAAGCAGTGTTTTGAGAACCTCTCGACACGGTTGGTAGCCCGAGAAGAATTCATTATTCTTTGTCACCATGAATGCTTCAGATCATACATCCCGTGGTTAATCTCACCTCTGTGACCTTTGTAATTGGCTTCATCTCTAAAACATGGAAACTCCTCAACAATCAAGTGCAGCAAACTCTGGGCTGAATTGTTACATTCTTTCAGACATGTCACAAATGATCCTATGACAGATTGATGAAACAAAAGATGTCATAAAAACTAGCTTCCTCAATTACAAACAAAATTACATTCATGACAGAGTTAAGGGCTGATTAAATTTACGAAATGCTCGCTATCATTAACACAGTAAAAAGTAGAATAAATGGAAGAATTATAATTGTATTTATTCAGTATTTATGGTAGCAATGATATTACAGGATTTATTATTTCATATTTTATCTGTAACTGAACCTGTTCTAAAACATAGAAAATAATGGCTTATCATCCTTTCAAAACTATGAAATTCATCATGTGAAAAATTATTACAAGTGAAAAAGAAGGCATATTATCTGTAAAGTTGACAAATTAATTTGAAATACGTCATCCGATTCTTAGATTATAATAATTTAACTTCCTCCATGTTTGTTTATGAATAGATATCTAACACAGTGAATTTTTTTTAACAGTGCAGCTATGAAGTGAACTTAAAAGCATTATGGTCGACCAAAATTTATAATCATTTTGTCACAGAAAATTAGTTTCTGGATCTATTAGGGCAATATCATACATATAAAATAACTTCAGACATTAATAATTAGACTTATACAAAATTTGAATATTATTCTACCTTTGTATTTCTGAAGGAGTTTTAACCCAACTTCGTGTAGGCAAGCGACACGATCTTCAAGCAAGGGCACTTTGGCATCAGGGTTATCAGAACGTAAGATGTGACCAAGGTTTGCAGAAGTCACTTGTGAATAGAATTTAGCATCAGTGAGGGGTATTCCATCCTGTGAAAAATATTAGGTTAAAGATAATTTTAAATTGAAAATCGAGGCTTTACGGCCAATGTAGTGCCTTAAATTTCATGTGTAATGCACATGGTCGTGTTTAAAAACTAGCAAGATTGTGACAAACCTCAAGAGCTCTTTTAACGGCTGCACAGAGAGCAAAGTATCCTGTATAGGTTTTGCCATTCCATGTCACTTCCCATTTTGAATCTTTATTAGCTGTCCAAAAACAGAAATTTAGAGTGTCGACAAAAAATATCCAATCCACAGCAGATTCATCAGCCTTCTGTGGGTGTAGCTGATGTTGTGAGAAGCCATCAATGCAAATTTGTTTGTTCTTTACCCCTTCTGCAACCTGGTAAATAATGCAGAATATAAATGAGTTTTATTAGTAATTATTTTTCTATGTATCTTGTCACATTTTAAGCCCTTTTTATAGGTTCAGATACTCAGATCACATCAAGGGGATGTTGGATTTAAAGACTTTGTAAACCACTGGTCTCAGCTATTGACAGTATTCTTAAAGAAACTATTTTACATATTTTAAATTTACTGCCTTTATAACATCTGAATTGAAATTGCACAGTTAAAATAAAACTGTTTTCAGAACTTACCTCATGTGCTAGATTCTTTATGCCATCTGGTAAGATAAATACATTTTTTGCCAACTTTGAAATTAATTCTCCAGATTTCTTTGGTGTTAGAACATTCATTTCTAAATGTCTTAATGTGACCACAGTGGTATGGAAATCTGAAAGTTTGTTTAGTAACATTATTTAGCAAGAAACTAAAGTTTATAGAGAACTGTATAAGAGGTACTTAATACCACTGGAAAATGTGAAAGTGTTTTGAAATTCCACAACTTGGACCACCTTGCTGCTTTCAGATGTTTAGAATGGCTCTAGAAGGTATGTCACATAATCAGAATTTTGTATCAAAGGCAAAACACACTTTTCAACAACCTGCAGGTATTTATTATATTTTAAGTAGTATCTTCATACGTGATACTGTGAGAATTTGAAACCTCATAGTTCTTTGATTCGTCATTATGCCCAGTTGTCTGGTTAAAAATTAATGTCCCATGGTCGTAATTAATTCTTCTTGGGCTACCAGCTATGTCAGATGGTTTGATGGAGAAAGCAGTGTTTTGGGAACCTCTCGACACGGTTGGTAGCCGGAGAAGAATTCATTATTCTTTGTCACCATGAATGCTTCAGATCATACATCCCGTGGTTAATCTCACCTCTGTGACCTTTGTAATTGGCTTCATCTCTAAAACATGGAAACTCCTCAACAATCAAGTGCAGCAAACTCTGGGCTGAATTGTTACATTCTTTCAGACATGTCACAAATGATCCTATGACAGATTGATGAAACAAAAGATGTCATAAAAACTAGCTTGCTCAATTACAAACAAAATTACATTCATGACAGAGTTAAGGGCTGATTAAATTTACGAAATGCTCGCTATCATTAACACAGTAAAAAGTAGAATAAATGGAAGAATTATAATTGTATTTATTCAGTATTTATGGTAGCAATGATATTACAGGATTTATTATTTCATATTTTATCTGTAACTGAACCTGTTCTAAAACATAGAAAATAATGGCTTATCATCCTTTCAAAACTATGAAATTCATCATGTGAAAAATTATTACAAGTGAAAAAGAAGGCATATTATCTGTAAAGTTGACAAATTAATTTGAAATACGTCATCCGATTCTTAGATTATAATAATTTAACTTCCTCCATGTTTGTTTATGAATAGATATCTAACACAGTGAATTTTTTTTAACAGTGCAGCTATGAAGTGAACTTAAAAGCATTATGGTCGACCAAAATTTATAATCATTTTGTCACAGAAAATTAGTTTCTGGATCTATTAGGGCAATATCATACATATAAAATAACTTCAGACATTAATAATTAGACTTATACAAAATTTGAATATTATTCTACCTTTGTATTTCTGAAGGAGTTTTAACCCAACTTCGTGTAGGCAAGCGACACGATCTTCAAGCAAGGGCACTTTGGCATCAGGGTTATCAGAACGTAAGATGTGACCAAGGTTTGCAGAAGTCACTTGTGAATAGAATTTAGCATCAGTGAGGGGTATTCCATCCTGTGAAAAATATTAGGTTAAAGATAATTTTAAATTGAAAATCGAGGCTTTACGGCCAATGTAGTGCCTTAAATTTCATGTGTAATGCACATGGTCGTGTTTAAAAACTAGCAAGATTGTGACAAACCTCAAGAGCTCTTTTAACGGCTGCACAGAGAGCAAAGTATCCTGTATAGGTTTTGCCATTCCATGTCACTTCCCATTTTGAATCTTTATTAGCTGTCCAAAAACAGAAATTTAGAGTGTCGACAAAAAATATCCAATCCACAGCAGATTCATCAGCCTTCTGTGGGTGTAGCTGATGTTGTGAGAAGCCATCAATGCAAATTTGTTTGTTCTTTACCCCTTCTGCAACCTGGTAAATAATGCAGAATATAAATGAGTTTTATTAGTAATTATTTTTCTATGTATCTTGTCACATTTTAAGCCCTTTTTATAGGTTCAGATACTCAGATCACATCAAGGGGATGTTGGATTTAAAGACTTTGTAAACCACTGGTCTCAGCTATTGACAGTATTCTTAAAGAAACTATTTTACATATTTTAAATTTACTGCCTTTATAACATCTGAATTGAAATTGCACAGTTAAAATAAAACTGTTTTCAGAACTTACCTCATGTGCTAGATTCTTTATGCCATCTGGTAAGATAAATACATTTTTTGCCAACTTTGAAATTAATTCTCCAGATTTCTTTGGTGTTAGAACATTCATTTCTAAATGTCTTAATGTGACCACAGTGGTATGGAAATCTGAAAGTTTGTTTAGTAACATTATTTAGCAAGAAACTAAAGTTTATAGAGAACTGTATAAGAGGTACTTAATACCACTGGAAAATGTGAAAGTGTTTTGAAATTCCACAACTTGGACCACCTTGCTGCTTTCAGATGTTTAGAATGGCTCTAGAAGGTATGTCACATAATCAGAATTTTGTATCAAAGGCAAAACACACTTTTCAACAACCTGCAGGTATTTATTATATTTTAAGTAGTGTTTTATTTTGTGGATTTAAAAAGTAGTTTTTTTATTTAAAGGAATTAAAATCTTTACAACATAAATGATAAGTTAACTTTGGCAAGTTGGCTTTCCCTATATTTCAGGTAGTAACCACAGAACACAAAAAGTGAAACTTTAGAGGGCTTTTGTAGATTAGAATATTTTTGTTGCAGTTGGTAACTGAATAACAGCCACATTCGTAAAACAGCTTTAAGTGATAACCATTCTATACAAAGTTGCTCCACAAAGTGCATGGCATTAATTTCTTGGATACCTACACTGGAGAAAACATCATATAAATACTGAAGGTAGGTGCAATCCACAATCACGTTAAATAAACAGTCATGGAAAAGAGACAAGTTATCGTTCTGAGGAACTAAGAAAACCTTTCAGCTATTGGATGTATGTCCCAAAACATAAGGGTTTCATAAACAAGGTTAAAATGACGAAACCATTTTATAAAATTGCAATAGGAGGTAGTTTGTAAAACATGGATATCATCTAGATTACCCTGAAGGCGTCATTATTTCAGAACAGATTACTAATGACTGATTTAAGGGTGAGAGAAATTGACATAACCTATAACGTCATAAATTCAACTAAATTCTACAATGACGAAAATAACTAATGAAATTGTCACCTATATTAAGAATATAATTAAACTGTGTATATTTTTGCTTACGTTATGAATTTAAAAATGCACTCAATATAAAAATAGTAAATAAACCATGTATTTTCCAAATTAAAGTACGACTAGCAATGTAGAGCAGCATCACCTTACACCACAAACATAAAATTGCGGTAGTGTGTCACTGGTGGAACAAAGTTGGGGTCATATTTGACAAGCTTATATTACGTGTATGTCGCTACTGTCATTAAAATTTGCAGTCGCTTAGATGCCTCATGAAGAGGCATTCACAAGAACACGTATCTTCTGTGTGTCGGTAACAAAGCTCGGATCACGAAACAAATAATTTGGTAAGAACTACGTCCTTGCCCCACTCCCCGATTTCTGTATAACAAATTTTACTTTGGAACACAAATAATTTGGTAAGAACTACGTCCTCGCTCCACTCCCCGATTTCTGTATAACAGATTTTACTTTTGAAGCACCCGTCCATCAGATTTGCCTTTATAGTTGACTATGTGCCGTTATTTAATGAGTTAATTTGTGTCATACTGTACGCTGTATTATTCTGTGGTAAACTTGTATTTAGTCTATATTTAATGGTCCCCAATTAAGTGATCGTTATATTTAAATCTGTATAATGCAATTATTTTAACAATAACTTTTAAATATCCTAAACCATAACTTGTTTTAGAAGTGAGGGAATTTTATTTAGTGTAGAATGTAGCTAGATTTTTAATAGACAAGCTCGGTTACGTCATACATACACAAAAAATCCAGGTGTCTGTGGTTTTGATGTCGAGGCAAAGAGGTTGGATTCTGGCAAATAGTTTGAATTTTGATACACAGATGGTGCTCATGGTATGATATGGGTCGAATAAACTTGGGAAGTGTGGTAGACAAAAATTGCAAAATACAAAACGAGATAAATGAAACATGGACATCGAATTCGTTCGCAGCTTTCGTGAAGCATTTAGCAATACGTATCATGACAAGGAAGTACTGCATGTGACAATACACAGAGTAGTAACAACATTTCGGGTCGAAGTGTTTACGACAGGAAACGTCCGGCATCGGACAATTGACAGGTGGCCAACACTGTAAACACAACTGCTTTCCTCCAATATTTTGGTGGTGGCGTTGTTTGGTGTCGCATTTGACTACTATCTGCAGACTTCTTTCTGTGGGGATTTATCAAGTAACCCACGAAGCTTGGCATTTAACATTTAGTACGAAACAGACAACAACGAACATTAACCTAGAAACTCTTAGGAAATTTTACACGAAACACTAAAATGGCGAATGCTTGTAGGAGACTGGGGATATTTTTAGCATCTGCTCTGAACCTCTTCGGTAAATTTTTCTTAAGAAATATAACCTAAAAATTATGAAAACTATGAAAATGAACGGTTAAATGGATTTGAATGAGCTTCTTTATAAGTTGTGTAGAACATAAGTAGGATTACGTTCAAAAATATTTATTTTATTCAAATTCGTTAAGTCTTTCATTTATACTACGGGTTTTAAATAACTCATATTTTGCAACCACGCGGTATATAATCGTGCCTAATAATATTGGAATATTACCGCGTAGTGCGGGCTGTAGTTTACCGATCCATATACTTTTTTGGTTTAGAAAGTCTAGAATAATCTGTATAAAATATTATTATTCACTACGACGTGAAGGAGAGCTTCACGCTCCGGCCGTTTTATGTTAGGTGAGTTAAATCCCAGTAAGCCACCCTGCAGATAGGAAGTTGGTTGAACCTCAGAACTGGTTTGAACATCGTTCTTCTGCCGGGCGGTATTTTAAAAGTTACCGAAATTAACTGATAACACTTCCGATTGGAACGGTTAGTGATTATGTGGGTGGGGGGATAGTCTCGGTGTACCCAGAGGGCCATTTAACTTTCCGACAACGAACCACGCCCTCGGGGAATAAAATACTTTTACTGTGTCGTCAAAGCGAGTTAATTAACAACGCAGGGAACTGTTCTTGGAAGATGTGGAAGGGTTGATTCTTTTGAAACTTTAAATGGATTAATCCCCTTTGAAGTCTGAAACTTATTTAAACAGGAACGGAAATGTTTAATCGTATCGCAGTACACAGTTTCTACATTCGTTCTTTCCAAATTTTTGATTCTAATATCTTCTAGAGGGCAATTTAAACGCAATAAATTCCTACTTTATGTAAGTGAGGAACTAGTTTCAGGCACCGGACTGGTTTATCTATAGGTTAGAGATATCGACAAATCTGACTGCCAAATATCAGACGTGAGATATCAGGATATATCTTTTTAATATCATCCCACTTGTCATTCGTGTATATATGAGTTTCATGTAACATTCATGTTCAATGTCCCTTAGTACAATATTAATATTATGCAGAACTTCGTACTCAGCGTCGCTATAAAACGTTCATTTGTTTGTAGTGAGACAGACAGTTGAATGTGATGGAGCGTGTGTTCGGTGTCGGAACATAACCTAACTTTTTAAAATTCTCTGTTCAGTTTCTGTAAAATTATAATTATATTCAGACGGAAATAACTGGACATGTATTATGTTACAAATTAGTGTCTCACTGTTTGTTTAAACTTATAAATATTAAATTTTTCTTAATTCATTTGCATTGAAGTTATTAGTTAACACACACACACCATAGTATGGCGTTGTGCGTCATTTGTTTTCAAGTACAATGCACATTCTTTTGCAAGTATCAGCAGATTTTTCTTGTATAAGAAATGTATTCTTATACACAAAATTACGCAATTTATATGTTATTATATCGACATGAGTCCATCAAATTGCCTATAAACTGCGGGTTTATGTAAACTATGGAGAAATTGAAGAAGCCACCACTGAGTATAGTAAAACTGTAGTAACTCATACTTTTGAATGAAATGTATAGCGTAAGGTCACACTGGATGAGGGTTCAACGACGTCTCTCTTACCTCGGGCTTCGTCCCACATCCCCTTAGAACTCCATCCCCGTCATCTTGGCACCGAGAAACTCAACCCCAAAGCCCTTGTATCATCCTGGCAGAAAACATTAGCTCGTATGCTTCCAGTGCAAGAAGAATAGTTATGTCTTATAATATTAGAGTCGGACTAACATAGTCAGTATATAGACTGTCTACGGTGTGGAAGACTGGACTTCAGTTCCCGGCAGGTGACAAAAGATTCTTCTCGTAATCTCATCGCCCACATCGATTCCTCAGTCTGAACTTACTCATTTAGTCTATATTAATATCACGTAATTATTTCAAAACTGAACTAGATTGGAGATGAATGTATATAACTGGATTTTCTTATAGATTTTAGTCCAACCGTGCTCAAACTTTATTACTACCACTCTTTACATTTATCACCTCCTACTATTACAATAACCCTTTAAATCGTAATGGTAACTATACATACCACCTGATTTAAGAACTAGTAAATTTTTATTTTGTTCGCAGAATGTATTTATGGATTTCATATGATTCTCAGAGTAAACAGCGATTATTACCTTAAGCAATTAACTTATCTTTGTAATGTTGAATTGTTTTCTTTGAGGTCAGAATGGGAAATTTAAATATTATTTAGACGAACATCGAGTAAAAGTGTTAAGTCGTAAGGATGTGACACCTGAAAGTTTTCGTGGGTATAAACTTAGATTAATATACGTATATTTATGTTTGTTAAAAGTTGTTAATGTTTTTGGTATAGATAATAGAATAAGAAGAGTTCTTATATATGCCACAGTACTCTTATCGCATTGTTGTCTTAGCCGAGTTTGAAGGAAGTGCTGAGAATTTGAAATTAGAATTGGATAAGAACTCAATAAATTACGAAAGTAATCTGTCTTATGTCTTGTGCTTGTCTGATTGCGCTCGAATCCAGTCAGTCCTGTAGGATAGTAGCGAAGATTGAACTGTCTAAATATGTAGACTGGTTTTCTTGTGAAATTGTCAACGGATGAAAATCGTAGTCGACGGGGACCTATAATTTTAATATTAGTAAATATTAGTAAAATAATCTTGTCAACAGAAACGACGTATCACGAGATATAACAAATACTTTATCATTAAACGTATAAAATACCATGGAATCTGAAATGGTGTCTTATTAGGTAGTGGAATCTCGTGTTATGAAACACGAAGCTAACGTTGGCCATTTTGAACTCCTACAATAGATTTCGCAACGTGCCAGTATTGACGTATATAATGTTTTAGTTTATTAAAATATTTTTATTTTATTCATTGCATGTGTGTATCTTTTTGAAACATCCCTTACTATAGCTGAATTTTTTTTGGCACATGAATATAATAAGTGTAGAGCTCTGGCGGTGGTATAACTGATGTGTTCCAATACAACCCAACCATGAAGCTCCATATTGTTTAGTTTTTTGGATTATTTATTGTTGATTTGGGTGGCTTATCCCCGAGAAGGTTTATGAGTGAATTTGGAGAAGCGGTGGATTTATATTAACAGTGTAAAATCCCAAAGATTCAGAGTAAAAACCTGTCCCAATACCAGTTTTTCCGCAAAAGATATCCGCGTGGACTAACCTAGTAGCGAAAACGTCACTAACCGCCTGAGCTATAACACGGCCAACGAGTTTTAGTCGAAAAACAAACACGTTTCACTAAATTACACTTGTCACACACTAAATAAAGATAGAAACTTTATATTAGAATCACTTAAAGCCAGACTTCAAACTTCACGGTAAGGGTAAAGGATAGACCATTTCTCCTACCCAAGCAGACCCGCTTAACACACGAGTTGAAGAGGTTGTGGCGATACCAGGCGCCCTTACCTTGAGTAGACTTAATACGTTCACTGATCCGAAATATCCTGGCTTCTTATTAACCCAGGGGACTAATTGGCCTCTCTCTCTCTCTCTCTCTCTCTCTATATATATATATATATATATATATATATATATATATATATATATATATATATATATATATATATATATATATATATATATATATATATATATATATATATATATATATATATATATATATATATATATAT